GGACTATGTACTTTGTTCTGGGTTTAGGTACTGTGAACACAGTCTATGTGCTAGACCAGGTGAATTACTTTGAACACAGTCTATGTGCTAGACCCGGTGAGTTACTTTGAATACAGTCTATGTGCTAGACCAGGTGAGTTTGTTCACTTTTTTTGTTTTTTAATTCATTTTCTTTGTTGTGGTTTTTTAATCTAACATTATTGCAATATGATCATTTCAATCAGTAACAAGTTACGATTTCAGAGGCACACTCTTGCCTGGGGCTCCTTGTCAGTACCAGATCAGGAAGTGGTTTCAAGGTGAAATGGTTTACATTGCGAAAGCATCCTCACCTTCTGGAAGTCCCTATTTCAAATGCCAATAAACTTGAAACTCACAACTACCATGTCAGCAGCTAGAAGGAAGACTGACTGCAGATGTTCTAAATCGAAAAGGTGGCTGTTGCAAAAACATAATTTTGAAGTAGGACAACATCAGCTACCAGCCAACTAACCAACTTTTCATTATTGTCAGATTTTTCAAAAGTGTAGTTCTCACTAAAAATGTCTTATGAAAAAGTGGTTCCCGTAGTTGCTTTCATGCATCATTTTAAAAGCACATGTTTGACTTTTTAAAAATATGTCTAAAAACCAAGAGCATAAAAATATTTTTAAATTGAGGTTAAAACCAAAATCCAAACAGACCCTTTTAGACACCAGCATGTTCCTAAATGTTTATTTTATGCTTAACACTAAAAATAAAGGATTAGAACAGACATTTCAAATTGTTTATCCTTCTAGACTTTATACTTTTTTTAAGATTTAGACATTTATATTTCTCAAATCTGACAATATGGTCATAAATATATACTGTATATACTCGAGTACAAGCTGAGGCACCTAATTTTACCACAAAAAAACTGGGGGGCTTTTTCAGCATAAAAAAGTGTGCTGAAAAACCTGGCTTATGCTTGAGTATATACAGTAAATGCAGAAATAAACAAACAACAGGCTACAACAACCACACTCACTGACACCTAGTGGGTTCGGATCATGGAGAGTTTGGAGAACAGAGTAGGACCTTTCCCTTCGGGTTTCACAGACTTTCCACTCTTTACAGGAGTAGAGAGCCTCACCTTTCTCCAGTGCTCCAACTCGGAACCTGGGTCAGCACTTCCATGGACGCCACTACAGCACTGGGGCTTTAGCCACACAGCCATAGTTTACATATATTTATACTTATTGACTTAATTATAAGTTTCTTTGGTCTGTACAACACAGGTGATTTCCAAATGATGATGGATTTGAGTTCACATTTATGGCACTTTTGACTAATTATCTGTTTATTTTTTTGTACATCTTATCATTGTTAATATGTACTACATACACTGTTACAGCATGTGATTTGCTGTTGCAATCATATCTCTTAATGTATATGTAGTGTTTCCAAACCCTGAGACTGATAAAAATAACTCTATTTCCCAGAGAGTCATAAAGAGAGCCTAGTTATGAGGCAGACTGCTAACTGCACGGTCAGCAATTCGAAACCGCCAGTTTCTCTGTGGGAGAAGGATGAGGGAGGCTTTCTACTCCTGTAAGCAGGTACAGGCTAGGAAACCCTCGGGGTTGTTCCACCCAGTTCTAGACGGCCGCTCCGAGTCGGAATGCATTCAACGGCTTCCTTGATTAACACTTCTGCAGCGGCAGCCCCAACTGATAGCAGGATTCTGTGCCACCAATCATCATGAATGGTTTCTGATATTAAGTTGAATACCTCCTTTTTATTTATTTTGTCATTAGTGTCCTTGCTTGAAGTGCATATTTCTAAAGATGAGAGGTACAAATAAAACCCAAATAAACCCACAGATAGAGGTAAGACTGGTTCATCCTAAACTCACATCCATCCAAAATGAAGGTCTACCTGTATTTTGTTAAAGTGTATCTATGCTGATGTTGAGAGTCTTATTGAATGCCATCTCTTCTGCATACAATTAGAACAATGGAATCAACGGATCCCATCGATTTAAATTACTATGTTATTGCTTCTTTTTTCTCTTATATTTTAAAAGCATTGGGACCATAAAATATAAAAATCCAAATCCATGCAATAAATTGTGTATGCTTAATAGTGTACACCGAATTTCCCTACTCACGTCTTTGGAGGCTAGCAAGAGTAGAGCTGAAAGATCACCCTCTTCTCTTTTCTTACTTGGTATCTCATCTTGTCCCTCTTGTTTCTCCCCCCTCTTCTAATCTCTTCTTTTGTCTCTTACCTCACTCTTGAGAGAGGCAAAGACACAATGTCCCAGAGTTAGGAGGCAAATTCCCTAGACTCCCGGGCCCTTGGTGGGGTTCCCACAAGTTGTTAGGACACAGAAAATTCTGTTTGTCCTACTCTTTTTGTTGTTTAAAAAAATATAGGTCATTCGAAAAGCTCAACAGTGACCTGGCATCATCTATTCCTCAAAGGTGCAGAAGACTATTTCATGACGATAGTCCAATGTGAGAGAGAAGTAGCCTGCAAACCCTAGACAAGACCCACCCTCTACCATGCCCCTCCCATTTGTTGGTCCTCAGTAGGGTCTGCCCATCACCAAAGGGACTGATACAGAGAAAGATTTCCCTCCACCAACTCTTCCCCCTGAGGCCGAAGACAGCTATCCACAAACTCTAATTACATTCTATGTTAAGCAACTGAATGATAAGGGCATCCTTTGTTGCTTTTTCAAATTGTAGAATTAGAATTATTTTTTGGTTCTACCCTGAACTTTTCCTTTCATTTTAAAGTATGAACCAGGTCAATGTTCTCAGAAAGCTAGGCCATACATATTTAGCATGGTTCACTTCGTCATAAGCCACTTTATGCCTCCTTTATACGCACTTGCTGTTGCGATAAGATATATGGATTAACAGAAACCAAGAGCCGGGATACACGGGCTTATCCGGAAATTCACTGGTCAAATGTGGTGGTGACAGAACATCATGGAACCCAACAATCCAATCATCAGATTTGAATGTCACTCATTGTGTTTTTGTTTTGAATTCAGCAGAAAATAAACAAACATGTTGTCTACTTGAAAGCACTCATATAAGTTAGCACATTAAAAATGAAAGAAAACAATTGATCTATATACACTTTAGAATAAATATAGGAATGCTATATAGCTTTATAACTTCAAAAAGTGAATTATGACAAAATAAATGTCAATATCTCCATACTATCTCCATAGTAGTTTCACAAAAGGAAATGGCATTAAATTCACCTTTAGAATAATGAAAGCAACAAACAACACAGCCAAAGGGACTGAACAACAAGAGCTTGGGCCAGGCTGGAGGGAGGGGGTGAGCAGAAGTGTATCAATTTTCCATTTCTGTGAGAAAGAAATTAGTCAACTTACAAAACACTTATCTTTCCTACATCTTTCCATTATGCATTCTATCCAATTTCACTATTTAAATTAAGCTGGAACATATCAGAAAAATAAAACAGTTCATTACTGGTGCTGCATATCACTTGCCTAATTGTATGGAATATAGCGGAGATAATGAGCTCGTTGTGGACGGCAACAGCCATGTAGCGTGGCTCATGAAATGCCGATGGGACTGTCCGCACGGCATAGCAGAGATAAACACCCCACAAGAGGAATAGAAATTCGGCTGTAAGAAGAACAAAAACAATTTGCCATTAGTTTCTTAGGAGAGTGGTGGGGGCAGCGGT